TGACGACGACGATGAGCCACGACAAAGAGTGGATATTCCTGTGGGGGCAAGGAGCATTCGAAGAAAGCGCGATGTCTCTCCGAAAATCAGCCCCCCTCGTGAGGAACGGGCGAATACCCCCAGACGTGAGCCCTCCTGGACTTATGATGACGAGATTCTGACCCCGATCCGCGAATCCCCGTCTCCAGAAAATGACTTTTACCCGTCACGCGAGAAAACGCCCACTCAGGAGGATTACCTTGCCCAAGAAGATTCCTTTGCTGAGGAAGAAGACCTTGATAGGAGCCATCCACTCAGCGAGAGTATGAGGCCTGATCCCCTTCAACTACGAAACAAGGCGAATGTCAGAGAGGATGGTGCGCCCCCTCCGCCAATTCATCGCACTTTTAGTACAAGCACTTCGCCTGAGCAAAATGCTCCCACTTCATCGGCATCACCAATCACACCTCCTGTCGACCTTGAGGCTGATGCCAAACTGAAGCGCCGCAACTCATCGCCACTCAAGCATGAGTATCTGCCATCTGAGGGATCAGAAGGATCCGAGGGCTCATCAGGCTCAGATGAGTCCTACACAGAAGAATCCGACTACGAATCTTCCGATGATGAGATTGAAAGCATCGATATTCCCGAAACTGAGATCGGTGTCAGTATCAAGCAGGGACCGAGACAGCAAGATCAGCATAGTTATCGAGAGGAATCGCCGGAACTTGACGCTCCCAATGCATCTTATGTAGCGGAGTCGATTGTAAACGAGTCAGAATGCAGCCTCACACCATCCAATTCTGCTTCACAGGCTGGTCTTCACGAGCAAACTCAAGAGGAGAAGGTAGAAGAGAAGCCCTCGCAGCAATTTACAGCACACATCTCCCGATGGTCCGATCGAGGCACGTGGAAGGACATAATGGAATCTCCATGCTCCATTGTGGTCGGGCCTGGTCTTATCGAGGCTTTCGTTTCGACCATTCCTCGAAACGCCAACGACCCACCACTTCTAGCAATGGACCTTACTCCTGTGGTCCTCATTCGCCACAGCACTGCGGTCGACGTTGAAATTCGATCATCCCTCCAGTCTCACTGCCAGATCTACAAATCACAAGGAGGAGGCGTGTTCCGCTTCCGATGCTCCAATGCAGCGGACAGTCTCGGCCTGTGGAGAGCGGTCCACCACGCTCGCCTCAATAACCAGAAATTTATCCAATTAGAGAACGAGGCAAGATTCAAGAGCTTTGGTGAGCGCCAGGGGCCTACCGACATTGACGGCAACTCGAGCAGCCGTAAAAAGTCGTGGTTCGGAAGGAAGAACAGCTACCGTAGCTCTGTGCGAGCACCTGCTCAGTCACTGGATGGTGCCAGTACCAATGCATCATCTAGTCTCTCCGCAACAAGCTTCCTGAAGAGACTCACAACTGGCAACATGGCATTCAACCTTGCCCGCTCTTCAGTGGACAAGCAAAGCCGTCCTGGTAGCGCGCGAAACAGTTTCTATGCCTCTGGGGAATCATCTGCCAGCGGAACCCCCCCTCGCTCGCCCTCTATTAGTGTGGAGAATAGTGCCCGCAGTGTTGCCAACTTGAACAGTGAGAATATTCGGATCAGACTTCACCTCCTCGTGTCTGCCACCAAGTGGGAAGATTATGGCAACTGCATTCTGCAAATACGACGACCACCTCCTGGCTGGCACCAAGCCCTGCGAGCAAACCACGGAATGGAGAAGCGGGTGACAGTGACCACGATTCCAAAGAAGGACAGCGAGAAACCTAAGATTTTACTCGATGCTGTTCTGGGCAGTGCATGCTTCTCACCAATGGGCAGCAGGGGAATCGTGTGTGGTATTTGGGAAGAAGTCAAGAACGGCGATGGCGTGGTGGGCATTGCTCCCGCAACAGGTCCAACAGGTGGAAACATCAAGAAGTGGTGCTTCCAATGCGCCACCGTGTCAGAGGCCAGCGGCGTGCTTCGCCTGGTCCACGAGGAAGTCCTTCGAGCATGAGCTTAGCCACCAACTGGCATTTCCCCATTCCTCGTGACCGACTTCTTGGGCACTCGATTTTCATCTTACTCATATTATTTTGCTTTTCGCACTTTTATTTCCTTTGTCTGAGAGCGCATTAGTTTGTTTTTGGGTGGCAAGAATTGGCACCCCAGTTATTGATATCCCCTGTGTTTAGGTTGTTTGATCATGATTTATCTCTTTTCATATTAAATGTACATACACGAGTGGTGGGCTTCAGAGAGAGGCCCCCGGAAGCGCGGGCTATATTATTCTGCCATGCGCTTTCATAAGTCTCTTCTATATATGATGGGAAGAGCATGGTGTTGTACTTAGATGGATCAGGCGCCGGGGTTGGAGTCGGTTGGCTGGAGGCAATAGTGCTTTTGTTGGGTTAACTGTATATACATAGACGACGAATCGAATTGATGATCTACTTCCAAGAGAGTAAATACACAACAACTCTTCACATGCCAGTACCACGCCCAGTCCACCCCCTGTCCCGTCCCTGGTGATGCCGTTGTGCCGGTGGATGACTCAAGTTGAAGTGGCTGTGTGGGAATCTAGCCTCTTGCTGTGGCTCAGGCTGCCATTTCGGCACTTCCCATTGGTGCTTGATACTGCCGATACCCCTGCACCTGGTCATGCAGTTGAGCCACAGGCATCTGCCATGTTCTGTAGGAGGACCAAGGCGAATTCTTGCTAGTTTTCAGCCTGGCCAGGTCGTTTTAGTTGGGCCGTGAATACGGTGCTTATATATCCCATAAACTGTTGAATCTGCACTTTCGTAAACTTGCTTCCACATCAAACTTATAGTAACAACACGCCCTGGGCATCTCGAAACGCGGGACACGATCGACAAAACTTGACCCAGGAACGTATTGAGACCAGATCCAGTCAAAGCACAGACGACAGGAGCTAGCAACAAACTGCATCACAGGCCAAAGGAGAGTCGTCCGCCACACGACAACCCAGCCATGGCCCATTCCCGCAACACAAAGCCGCTCTGGCTCATCGAGCCGCGCCTCGACGCGGCAGAGTACCGCGACAAGCTGATCGGCAGCGTCATCAAGCACCCCAAGAGGCCGACGGAGAAGCGGATCCCGTACCGCAGCTCGAAGCTGGCGCGGGACATGATCCCGGACCTGGACCCAAAACCCATGCAGGTCTCCAACGTCAGGTTCTGGCAGCGGCGGATGCGCGACGACAGCGTCGGGGCGTCGTTCAACGACATCCTCGACTTCTTCGTGGAGAGGGCCAAGTCCGTCAGCCGGGAGAACGAGGCGACGGTGGCGAGGATCTGGCACATGGACTCGCCGGGGGACAAGTTCAAGGATCTGTTGCAGAACAGGGAGTATTTCCAGGAGTTGTTTGACATGCTGAGGGGGGCGGATAATCAGCAGGGGTATTTCGTTACGGATGTCGTGACGCTGGTGAACCTGGCCGTCACGGACGAGAACGGGTCTTCGTTTGCGGGGGGAGGAGGCGTCAAGGCGCCCATACAGGAGGCGACGGGCATACCGATCAACGTCCACATGGGCGGGCGGTACGGCGTGTCGAGGGAGCAAGGGAAGTCGGTGACGTACGAGGGCGAGCTGGTCGTGTTCCTGGGGTACAGGCGGGTGAACCTGGACAAGGTGGTGGGGATGCGGTCCAAGATCGAGAGGGCGCTCCGGTGGGACAAGCACGGGTTCACGATCAAGGATGGCTTCGACTACTGGCCCGAGCTGGTGGAGAACCCGGTTGAGGGGGACACTGCGGGGTTCTTGAACCCACCAGAGCCTGGCAAGCAGAGCGAGGCGAAGGAGCCGGAGGAGCCTGAGGGGCATAAGGAGGTGGTGGAGGTGATGGGCTTTGACTGCGCTGTTGTGGGCTAGAAGTTTACGATAAGGAGGTTAGAGTTGAGGAGAAGGGGGATCTCATGGCCTCGCTTCATGCCGTCTGAGTGTCATTTGCCTGTTATCTGAGGATTGATTCTTTTTGAGGGAGCGCGAGCATTTGTTTGAATATACGGATATATGACTTGGCCTTTTGGATGACTTGTAGCGGAACAAACGTTCGTGGTTATGGAAATAATGATGTAGGTTTTAGTAGAATTGACGTTGTATATACCAATTGCAGCTACCTTATTGATAAATCTATGACATCCCTTTATCACATTCTCACTCTTTACAAGAGTGGCTGAAGATGTGTTGCCGCTTTTGCCAGAGTGATACCACAACAAATTACCGACCTGAAAATGATGGCCGGGCGTTAGTATCAACATTGGTCAGGGTTTCTTCTCTTTTATCTATTTGCTTATAACTTAGCTCAATTTGATTAGGTTAAGATCTTAAGCAAATTAAGCACCGCAATTTCCATCTCAGTCCAAGGGTAGTGAGATAAGAACCAAACTGACTCTGGCAAGGTCACTTCTATGCCCCAGGTGTGAGTCACTTCCATGCCTTCTAGCACATCCAAAAAAAGGTAATAAGGAGCTCAAGATTGGAACAGATGGGGACGGGGGTCCAGACTTTTCTCTCATGTACGTGTAGTGGAATCTCACTCAGTCCAAGATATCTTGCTGGATTAGCGAAAAAGCTTCTGAGAGATGAGTTAATTCCGAGCTTCATTGTTCTACCTCGCAGATAATGGAAACTAATGGCAACAGATAGCTCGTCCTTATGACTATCCGGGGATGTGGCTCTGCCGACCACCTCGTGGATTCGGAGCAACACATATGCATTGGAAGATCTGCGCCCTGCTTGGCACTTCCCGCTTCTCTGAAGCATGATTGGAACCTGACTACTCGAATCTTCTTTGGAAACTATGTCCCTAGATCATAACGGCGATCATGGTACTCAGGTCAGGTCATGGTTCTCGTCCAGGAAGCCATAGGCTGCCACACCCTAATTCGGAATCCCTATTGTCTCAAATGTCGAGATACCTAGCCTTCTTTCCAACTTACACAAAGTCTTTGGCTCCAAATAAATACCTAAATAAACCAACCACTCGCAGTAGCTTTTTGTTATCAGTTATCTTTGAAATCTGGAGTACCTGCTTTGCGTAGCAGACTCATCATACGGTAATGTTTCATCTCCATGGCAACTTCGATCGCCGTCCGCCCTTTATGATCCTCGCTATCCAACAAAGCGCCGGCAGCAAGCAGTGTCTGAACGCTGATTCCATCATTTTTCTCCACAGCCGCCATGAGCGGCGTGAGTCCCTTTTCATCCCCGACGTCCACTCCAGCACCTGCTTTAATCAGCTGCTCGAGGATATTTGGCTTTTCATCTTTTGCAGCATCTTCTGCAGCACTGATGAGCACCGTACGCTCTTGACTACTCCTTCTTTTGAACCTGAGGGGAGGGGGCGGTTCTGAAACCCGGTTTTGTGCAGCAAATAAGAGCGGCGTGCATCCGTCCTCACCCCTGGCGTTCACGTCAGCGCCTGCTTTATGTAGCTGCTGGATGATATCTGAATGCCCATATCTTATGGCTGTCAAGAGCGGCGTGAGTCCATCTTCATCACTGACGTTCATCTCAGCGCCTGCGTCAAGTAGCTGCTGGATGATATCTGAATACCCATAGCTTATGGCTATCAAGAGCGGCGTAAGTCCATCTTTATCCCTGACCTTCATATCAGCACCTGCTTCAATTTGCTGCTGGAGGCGTTCTGAATCCCCCCTTTTTATAGCAGTTAAGAACAGTGCTACTCTCATAGCATCTGTCATCTCGCCACCCGCCTCAAGCAGCAGCTCAAAAATACCGTGTTGGCCCTCTTCTGCAGCGTGGTGCACTGGCGTCTGTCCATTGTTGTCGGATATTTTAATATCAGCACCCGCTTCAAGTAGCGCCTCAACAATATCATGGTCGCCTTTTTCTATAGCCCTCCACAGTGGCGTTCGATTGCGTTTATCTTTGCAGTCCACCTCAGAGCCCAGGGATAGTAATAGCATGACGACTGGCAGATGTCCAGTCCCCACAGCTTTCCAGAGCGCCGTCATGCCAAATTGATCCCGTATGGACAAATCTGCACCGTTCTCAAAAAGGAGCTTGACGATTGGCAGTTGTTTATGTTTCACAGCCTCCATGAGCGGTGTCGCACCATCAACATCAGGTATAGATAAATCTGCACCATTCTCAAGAAGGAGCTCGACAATGTCCCGGTTCCCTCCGCTCGCAGCTTTGAAAAGCGGCGTCTCGCGCATGAAGTTAGGTTTATTCACATCGGCGCCCCGTTCGATGAGCCCTTGGACCTCGGTTATATCTGGCCTTTCAGCACGCAGGAGAAGCGCCAACTTTTCATCATACTTGTTTCCCATGTTGCCTTCTTGGTGCGAACCGCTGTTTGTCCGAGTCGGGAGCTCGACGTTGGCAACACCAAAGGCCGTTTTTATTTGCTCAATGGTGTGCGAGAATGGGACGACATGTCCATACCCGAACATGTCTGAACCAACTAAGTGACCATATATTTCAAGTGTCTGTTGATCGACTACAATGGAACCACTTTCACCGGGGTAAAAACCTGTATATTGTCACATATGAGTAACCGGTTTTTGAGTGTTACTTTTCGTGGGTCACGTACCTTCTTGTTTGTCAAGAATAATTGTCCATGTTTCGCAAAGATCTTGCCCCTTGGAGGAGCCAAGATAGCTGGGGGAATCAATCAATCGACCGGATCTCACTCCGAGTATTCCAGATATCATGAAAACTGGAACCGCATGAGTACGGGGTTTGGTGGCGACGTCTTTCAATAGACCTGGGCGTTTCCCGGGTCGCAACAGAAAATTGCATCGTTGCATTGGCGACATTTGATAATCGACCAGGCGCAGACATGCCCAGTCAAGATATGGGCTCTGATGAGGTAGACTGTTTGGAGGTTCGACCCGCTCACCTTGATGTTGTTTGTGAGACTGGGAGAGCCGGGCAGAGGCCTCAATTTTGGCCCTCGTTAGTTCATAGCTCGCTTGAGATGGGTTGCAGTCGACGGAAGTCGCTGGTAGTTTTCGATCCATTTGTGTGTTATCATGATCCGGGTCGGGGTCTGAGTCCGTTGGTTTATCATCTTTGCTTTCGTTGAGACAGTCCCCTTGTTCAATCTTTCCCTCAATTGGCGCTTGAGATTCTGGGTCTGAACTCATTTGAGACTTGTCATTTCTTGGATTGTTGTCATCTTCTGGATTGTTGTCATCTTCTGGATTGTTGTCATCTTCTGAATTGTTGTCATCTTCTGAATTGTCGTCCTGAAATACGTGCTCGACAGTGAGAAGGTAGTCATCCCCACCGATATCCAACGTCAATGAGATCGTTGATTGACGGCCTTCGGATGTGATCAAAGATCCGCACATGGTTGTGAACAAGGAGCATTGAATGCTCGCAGGTACACCGTCGAACCTCTTGAGCCCAGTGGGGCATAGATAAAGCCACAGGATGGGTCTCAAGTTTGACATCCTAGACAAGCCTCCATCTCGAAGTCGAAATATGTGCGCACGGTCCCGTATCGATGGTATCATGCAATTATATTCTTGTCTTGGCATCTTCTCGAGCAATGAGTTGAGAGGGTCCAAGTGTTTTTCACTGCACACAACCAATACAGATGGCTTTGCGCTCTCGGACGAGGCTCCTACCATCATGAGTCTGTAGCTGATGGTTTTTGCCTTGATACGCAGCTTTTTGTGAGAATCGATGGCCTTTTTGAGGTATTGCACGACCTCGTTGAAGCTGGAGGTGTGTTGATCTTTAGACCATCTCCCACAGATAATTGGCAAAAAAGGCCAGGTTTGCTCTGTATTCTCAGGAGGAAGGAAAAGACTGGCATTCATGTCCTCTTCCACCCTTCTCCCAGGTGGGGTTGAAGAAGTGGCCAGAAGTGGTTGTATGTGTGAGTCAGGAGCAGCAAGGGGTTGCCTATGATCGAGTTAGTGATCTGACATTGGGTGGCGCTTGCTGGTAGGCAATAGGGCCCGGGAGGATAGGATTACGCTCTGCAGAGCCGCCCAACAGGTGTATCTTCCATCTCGACCTGCGACTTCGATGATAACAGATGGACTATATTAGGCTAATCGGATGTTGTAGAAAGTAAAATGGCATGAAAGATGGCCCGGTTCTGAGGATAGGAAACAGTAGAAAACAGGAAATGGTAGACCGACAACATACGGGCCTCGAGCAGGATTATTGTAGAAAGGGAACCGGCATAAAAGATGACCCGGTTCTGAGGATATGAAACAGTAGAAAACAGGTTTGGCAGACCGGTCGCATACGGGCCTCGAGCGGGGTTATTGTCGAATGATTTCTTGTCAGCAGTGAGGATGGTTGGTCCAGGTGTGTATAAAAGTGCAAGTATTACTACCCAACGTCTCATGCATGCAGCCACTTACGTCGTCAGGCATACTCGAAGCCAAACATGTGACTATCGGAAACCGCGATATGTGTCGGTATCCTTTCTGTTCATAAAGACTCCCCCCTCACAGAAAAGAAGAACCTAGACGCAAAACACGTCATCTTAATATCAACATTAGCATCCTTTGCGAAATGGCAACCTACCAGGAAAGCACCGAGAGATCTGAGATAGCAACACTGATATTCGACGAGGATGGTGATTTCCCGGCTTTCTTCGCGTTCTTCGGTACAATACTCCACCAAAAAAACTTCCTAGTAGTCAATGGCCAAGGAGGGTTGACATACAGAGACATCGGCGTTGCAGTGAGTCTTCTGAAAAGCTCTCGTGGCACCACGAAGAATGGAGTCATCCAAACCTTGAATAATGATAATGGCACCGCCACGCCAAGGTCAAATGTTTTGGACGCTCTTAATTTGGCTGTCAACATGGTGCTCATGGTGGACTGCGATCCCCAAGAATCACACGCGCGGGGGTACACCATAGCCGACTACAGTCCGAAGTCATGGCAGCCAGACATGACATATTTGGACTTTGTCCAGCGTTCCTTCCCTATCGGGGCCTCGGAGAGGGTACAATGGAGTCTCAAGGCTTCGAAGTTGAAGAAGAGGCTCCGTATCAAGTTCCTGCCAACAGACGACCTCGATAAGCACTTACTGTACGATTCCGGGAACCCTCCTTGTGTATATCTCTTTCACCAGGTTGGGTTCTTGAAAGCTCAACTGAACAAGTATAATGATATGGAAATGCCGCTGGACTTGACCGTAGACGAATGTCTCGAGAGGTATGTCGTTGAATCAACATAATTCGAGTTCCTCGATGCCATAGCCTTCATTAACTCGGTTATCAGAGGTTCCCCCCCAGTACAATTATTATACGAGACAATACACTCGCTACAGCAGCTGCTCTTTCGCCGACATGACAATAAATCCAAGGCAATTCTGAAGGAACTCATCAATGAAGAAGGATTCGATTCCGAATGTGAAGTTTACGATGGTTATAGGCCCCTGGATGGTGATGACTTCACGTACACATACTGGGGGGAGCGGATGAGAAAACTCGAGGCGGCTTTGGCCAATCCTCCGCCGCGTAACAAGCTGGAAGCCTGGTTACAGTCGCAGACGAGTGAGAGGAACGCGCTGTTTATAGCGCTAGTGGCATTGTTTATTTCAATATTCGTTGGACTGCTGAGCCTTGGACTGGCAGGTTTTCAGACTTGGATCGCCTGGATGGCATGGAAATATCCTGTGAAGTGACGAGCAAGGAGGTTGATATCCTTAAAAAACTTGCTGGGAAATAACACGTGCAATCCTACTAATTGAAAATTTTGATCATTGAATCACTGGGCATTTGAAACCAACAAGCATCTCAGGCATGACGTGATGGCATAATAATCTGCTGTAGTACAGAGGCAGACAGGTTGACAGGCAGCTGATGGCAAACGGGGCAGTGCTGAGAGGCAGCAAGACTGAACCTTCCATGTGCACCACTGTACTTCCCACTACGTAGCACCCACCACCTGAAGGGTTCCCCCACAGGGACTGGCGCATGCTCTACCGCTCTGATTGGGCTGGCTCCAGCGAATCAGGTCACTGAACGCCCTGTCCCTCGGGTGTTAGTGGGCGTTGGCGGGCGGACTGGTGGGCCCTATCTGGTGGTGGTGGGGTGCTCATCCGCCGCCACACAGGAACGGGGCAACTCTATTTGCTCTCTTCTTTCCCGAGGCCATGCAGCTTGCGGCTCGCTTGGCCCACGACCCCTTCGCCTGCTCCCCTGCGTGCCTGTTATTGGACTTTCTCTTCTTCCATCCCCTCTTCCCTTTTAATAGTCTATCTCAAGTCCTAGAAGATCCATCTATTTTCGTTAAAGCTCCTCCGAAGCACGATCCGAAGCTCCACCACCTAAGAACCACCTAAATAGCTGCCTCTCCCCCACTACCCTAAGCAACCGCCCTCGAAATATTTCTCCCGATTACGCTTAATTTTGTAGTCCCTTCTCCTGTCTTTAGATGAAAGCCCCTCGAATCGGTTTTAGGGTCACGGCATGGCTCAGATAATCCGTTGCGATGGGCTTGTTATCTTTCTTAAGAACCCGACCACCAGCCAGGGACCAGCCGAAGAAAACGAAGCCAGCCAAAGGTGCCATCTCTCACATTAATGACGTCGATCCCAAGGCCAGCTCCAAAGTTCTTACTCCGCGACATTCGACGGTAGCGGTTCGGCGTGATAAGCATCACGGCGACCAAAGCCGGAAACGCACTCCCTACACCGGTCACCACAAGAATGTTTCCTCCCCTCAGCTTCAGTTGACGCCGACCTATGCGCCAGACCACCACCGCCACGACCCTCAGCAGCAATACCGCGATAGGGCTCAAGTGTATTCTGGGGGAGGAGGGGGCTTCGCCGTGTCCATGGTGAACCTTACCAGGGACGCGGGTGCTCTCCCAAACTGCAATGATGGGCTTGCCGCCTGGTATGGATACAGCACCGCACTTGTGGGAACGACCGTGTCAATTTTCGACGAAGTGTCAATACGGTTGAACCACATCTTGACTCAAATTGACAAAGAGGGCATGACTGGAAACGAGCCTGATTTATTCACTTGTCGATCGCCCATCGCCGCGGTGAATGATTGCCAGGCTCTAGTGCGGGTATCGTCGGCTGATCAGCAGCTCACCAAGCCGAAACACCACCACCATGAGAGGGAGCCAGGCAGCGGCCGGGGAAAAGATCGGAAGCGCGAGCGATCTTCTCGCCAGAATTCTTCACGTGAGGACGGATGCAAAGAAAAGCCCAAGAAAAATGCCCAGCTGGCTGGTGGAGTAGCGACGGCTGTCGTCCGAGGAGAATACTTCTCCAAGGTTGAGCTCTATGCAAATTCCAAGCTTCCGGCGAGTTTGCCCCCTTTCGCGGTGTAAGTGATCCAGTCCGCGTACTCCCAAAATCCCAATGTGGCGGGAACCTAACAAGTTGGAAATAGATACTTTCCCACATGGCCCCTTTTGTGTCTCGCGGCCCAGTATTCTCAGGCCGTCTACGAGCGCCCACAAAAGCGTGAGAGCGAGGCCCATGTCTCTGCAGATTGGCGGGCTGGTACGAAAGCCATGGTGATCAAATCTGTTCCAATGGATCATATGCGCACCATTGTCTTTGCAGTCCGTGGTACCGCATCCTTCATGGACTGGACAGTCAATCTCCACGCGGAACCAACCTCTCCATCCGGGTTTCTCGATGACAAGTCCAACCTCTGCCATTCAGGCTTTCTGACGGTCGCACGAAGAATGGTCAAGCCGGTGGCTTCCCGGCTGAAGCAGTTACTCGAGGAGGATCCCAGCCGGTCCAAGTATAGCCTCCTCATTACCGGGCACTCTGCGGGAGGCGCTGTTGCGGCGCTCCTATACTGCCACATGCTCTCACGATCCAAGGGTGCGAAGACTGATCTCAGTCAGCTAACAGGATCCTTCAAGCGCGTACATTGCGTCACTTTCGGCACCCCGCCCATCAGTATTTCACCACTCATGAGACCCGACAGGCCAGACCTAAAGAACAGTGTTTTTCTCAGCTTTATCAACGAAGGCGACCCAGTCGTCAGGGCAGACAAGGCGTATGTCAGAAACTTGCTTGAACTACTCGCGTCTCCACCACCGTTATCACTACCTGCGGACAAGCCCTCAGATGTCGGACGGAGTTCTGAGGGGGGGAGGGGCGCTCATACTCACCCAAGCCCGCGTTTACACAAATACAAATCTCGCCAGGATCTCAAATCCAAACCTAACACCGCACCCCAGCAAAAGCCCGTCTGGCCTGTTCCGGTTAGTGCCCTCAAGAACGCTGGGCGACTCGTCGTTCTTCGAAGCGGCCCCTCCGACCCTCGCTACCGCCAGCATCGAGACCGCATGACAGTTGAGGAGCGGTTGTCAGAAGGTGTGGTTGCGAACACATGCTGCGTCGAGCAGTTGGAGGGTATCATCTGGGGAGACCCTGCGGCACATCTGATGAACCTGTACGCAGGGAGGATAGAGAAGCTGGCAGTGAAGGCTGTGACGGTGAGCGACAGCTAAGACGGTGTAGTTCAAGCAGCTTAACGACGTGATGCCCCTATGTTATACTCGGTTTCCAATGGTTTTTCTCCCTTATATATACCCAGAACAGCAGGATGAAGGCGTTTAATTATTCCATAGCTCGAATGATAGTGTTATGTCTTATTGTTTCATGGCGCAGGCCCTCATGACATCTCCTCTGTTATTCGTATTCGTGATAATAGTCGACGACTCAAACGCCCAGTCTCCAGAACTCCCCATCGGTAATAGAAATAAGAATGAGAAGAAAACAAACCAAAATCAACCGCTTTCAAAACGCTTACTACCAAATCGGACGCTTACTCAGAGCCACCCCACGCGACAACACGGCAGACAACCCTCCCCTTCATCTCGAGTCCATCTCAATCCCCTCCGATGACTCGTCGTCGTCGTCACACACACCGCATTTGCAGACCACGTAGATGACGAACGACACGAAGACCAATGCGGCAAGGGTGATGACGGCACTCTCGACGGCGGGGCTGATTTGTGCCATTTGGCGAGGATGGGATGGGATCAGAGAAAATGTAATGCGAGTTCGAGGAAGAGAGAACAGCGGCCGAGCGAGGAGGAGGTCTCTGGCTTGGCTTGGTGATGCTGGGAGTAAATTACGGCGGAGACTGGTTGGGGCTTTGTTCACCTAAGGGGGGAAGTTTCTGTATGATTGATTTGATTATGTTGACTTGTTCGAGGTTTCTTGATTTGATTTGTTTGTTTTTAAGCCGTGTTAGCTTTTAACCTGTAACCGCCGGAGGAAGGACAGACCTCATGGGGAAGGGTTCAAGATTGGCTTTAAGCTTCAGTGGGTTTGGACTTGTGATGTGATGTTGTTGGCTTATGCTTTTTCATTTATTTTCTTTCCTCTTTTCGCACATGAGGCAGAGGAGTGATGAGGGTTGCAACGGGGAGCGTATCATCGGTCTCACCTCCCATGCAAGAAGACCCAATGTATAAGCTTGCAGTTGGGGTGAATCCGATGCATCGCATCCAGATCCCTGTGTAGAATTAAGCTCATGGAGCTTCGTCCCATCGGCAAATCATACCTCTCCATCTTTCCATGTGAATGATTGCTCCATTGGTCAATTCCATTCAGCATACTGCTTCAATACAAGTTGGGAATCAGCCGCTCACACCTCATCCTATTGTCAAGGCAGTGAATATCTGGCATTGTTTCACGGCAGGTAATGGCAAGGTAATGTAAATAAATGCAAGATTCTGATTCTGTTATATACTTCGCTATGATCTAAACTCTTATTCTCAATAGTTGGCCCGTCTAAAATAGACGGGGTCCCACTGTCAACGTAACCACTGCAAAAGCTTCGCATGAAACGGCCTCCCCAAAACTAAAAAGGTCAAGATAGCGAACTCCTATCCTTATGCCACATGAAACCCAGACAAATCAACCCCATCCATACTCCCAATATATAACAAAAATGAAATCAGTATTGTCGGCTATATGGCACTCCTTCACTCAGTAGGCGCTCCATAAATTAGTTTCTCGGCATCTTGCCTTTTGTGAACGGCAAGTAGGAACCCTGGTTTTCCTCCTCGACGCCCATCATAATCATAAAGTATTGTTGTTGAGATTGTAAAAGGGGGAGATAGAAGAAAAAAGTATGGACAAATAGAAACGTAGTGTAAGCGAAAGAAACTGATCAAAGTGCTGTGTCGATAATGTACAAAACAAATACAACCGGGCAATTATATCGAAGTCCGGTCTTGGTTTAGAAATGTTGTAAGAGGGTAGGCGCAGTGGCTAGGATAACCTGCCAAAGTCCATCTCATTATTCATAGAGCCCATGCCAGACATGCCACCTTGCGGCGGGTATTGTTGCCGAGGATCATGCATGCTAAAACTGGCTTGTCTCTGCGTTGGTTGTCTCATTCCCACCATGTTGTTCATAGGTATAGATGGTGGGACAGCTTGCGAATTCATGGGCTGACTGTGCATGTTTTGTGGCATGCCACCCATGTGATGTTGTCGCATCCCCTCATGGCCTTGATTCATGGGCATATGCGGGTGCTGGTGCTGCGTTTGATGTTGCGCGTGGTTCATTGGATTTGGTTGTGCTGGGTGGCCCATGGGGCTCATCACCATCTCCGACATGGGAGTACAGGCAAAGTTATTCATGCCAGGGGGGTACTCAACGGTTGGCGACATGATTCCAGGTGAGCTGA